ATAGCACATGAAATTTTAGAATGATAACAAATATAGAAATTGTTCTAAATAGGAGTAAAAACGTTTTGAATTCCTAAACGTTTTGAATTTCTATAATAGGAGTATCATGTTTTTTATTTTCTGAATAGAAGTAATTTTCCAAATTTGAAAAAAATGTCATGCTTTAAAGCCTAATAATACCAATCTTGTCAAAAAATTACTCCTATTCAAGGAATAAAAAACATGATAGTCCTATTTTGGAATTTCAAAACTTTTTTACTCCCTAACAAATACTAGTAGAAATATCATAGGGAGTACTAAATATTCTACGGTCATACATAAAAACTTTGAACTTTTTTGTATAAGAGTTCTGATGCATAAATTTATAATTTAGCAAAACTCAACTGAAGCTTCCTATTGGACTTTGCCAACTTTCTCTTGTTGGTTGTCCGAAAAAACTTTATCACTTAGCTATTAAAGTAACTAATTTGTGGTTCTACGCATTTCTCTCTCCTGTGAACAAATTTGAACCACACAATTTTTACTATTCTTATTTCTCACTTACTTTGCAATCGAGTAAATAAATATAGGAGAGAAGGATGAATGTGACACACGATCATTTTTGTACTCACAAACTCGTTCATATTATTAGAAATACTTGACATTATTGAGTTGCTATTATTTTCATTATTCTTAATCAAATCCATCGTCGATTCATATTTATTTGATTCCCATTTCATTTATGTTGTTAAATTAGTCTATTTTTAGCATAAATTCGGAGCTTTCTTTAGCCTTCCCTCCTCACCCCATCTTTCTTTCCTCCAAGCCAACTTTCACTACATTTATTCGGTTCTTTTTTCCTCCACAATTGTTTGCTTTTTCCATGAGAAAATTACTCAAATTAAACCTAATAAAACGTAACCTTCTACCAAAAATAAAATCATATTTATGGTTTTTCTTAAATAGAATTAATCATTCTAAATCTAGTCATAACTTAATTAATACTACCTCCGTCCCAAAATGAACTTCCCATTTCGAATTACGATGTTTGACCGACGATAAAGCAACTCGATCCCTGTTCATACTCAGATTACTTTCAGTAAATAAAATTTACATATTGAGAAACTACATTAAAACCGCTATAAATGCTGATAAAAAAATATAAATTTGATAAAAAATTGATACATAAAACATAAGATTAAGAGTAATTTAAGTTGACCATGTGAATAGTGACTCTGAAGTTCATTTTGGGACGGAGGGAGTAAATTAATTTAATTAATTGTCTTGCTGGTTCCATTGAATAAACAAAGACAATTTGTTAATGACGGGGTAATCTGGCGATTTAAGAAATCTGACACAGATAATCTGGGAAATTAAATGAAATCTTGGACTTTGACTTTACAATTTTGTAAGAAAGGTAATTTTTCATTTTGATTTTCTAACCATATGCTTATAAAAAGAGTGTTGGTAATTAGAGTGTTGGGTGGTGAATAATGTCACATTCAAAAGATGAGTGTGACAAATATGCATATGTTACGTTGGATGTGTGGATATAACAGATAAAACCACTTGAGGAGTAAAATAATCTGACAAAAAATGGGAGTAACACTAATAGAAAATAAGATGCAGACGTCTTGATTGCGATGATTTGGTCATTGCGCAGAAGACTAAATGATGCACATGTTAGACTACTTGAGAGATGGGGAGAAGATGTAAGGAGGAGAGGTAGAGGAAGACTCATACATACTTGGATTAAAGAAACTAGAACGAATATACTTTTTCTTGGATTGGACGAGAGTATGTTTTTGAAGAAACCAAGGTAGAGAACGCATATTTATCTTTTACTTCGTATCCTTTTTATATTTCTATGTTTTATGTTACTTTATCTATTATCCTTCTTATGCTCTTTTATTTTTTATCTTTTATCTTTGTTATGTATTTTTATCATATACTTATCTTTATCTTATTCTTTTCATTTAATTCGACTTTAGCTTTTTACCCTTGTTATCTTTCTTCTCGTTCTGACTCTATTATTGATGGAGTATATGGGTCCAGACCCCATGACCCACATACTTCCAGCTACATGCAAGACCTGGGGGACGTACGTCGTCAAGCACAAGGAACACCCCAGGGACGTACGGCCTCCAGCACATGGATCACCCTGGGGACGTACGACCTCCAGCACATAGGAAGGCCCCGGGGACGTACGGCCTCCAACATGTAATAGTCACCCGGGGACGAACGACCTTCAGCACTTTGTCAGCCAGACGTACGTCTCCAAGGACTTCGTCTGCCATAGCCGACGTACGATCCAAGGACTTCGTCTACCACAGCTAGATGTACGTCTCCAAGGACTTCGTCTGCCACAGCTAGACGTAGTCTCCAAGGACTTCGTCTGCCACAGCCAGACGTACGTCTCCAAGAACTTCGTCTGCTAGACTTCCATACTTAGCTTGTAATGGGCCTCCCAATCCCAAGACTTGGGAGCTCAGTCTGCTTTTCCCTATAAATATCCCCTTGGGAGTAGTTGTAAGGGTTCGAAACTCATTTAATACAAATCACTTCTATCTCTCGCTCTCACTTCTCTCTAAACATATAGTTTATCATTTGGTGATTTCATTGAGAGCTAGAACAATCAAGTTAGCATCTTTCGTCGCTACCAAGCACAAGTTAACTGAAATGGGAAGAGCAATTTCAAACCGTAACCTCATCCGCAAAGCGATCCCTGAAACTCAGGACAAACGTGAACGCTCTGGTGATGTTACGGCTGACAAGGCAGGGGAAGAGGAGATCTTCCATGAGACGATCGTCCCCACGACTGACCTTCGCGATCAGCTTAACGACAACTCTCAAGATGCCCGCTACGGCCTTGAGAAGAAATGCATCGAGAGAGGCGACAATGCCTCAGGGTAATAGTCTACTCCCGCTGTTGACCCTCAACTCCAGGCTGCTGTATCGGCCATCATAGCCAGCCTGGCTCAAAACCCCACCGTCCTCAGCGCACTCATGCCCAGGACGAGGGAGAACACAACTCCACCACCTCCTCCTCCTCGGCCATTGGTCATGAACATTGGCAACGACGAGGGGGCGGTGGCCCAGGACATGGCATCCCATTCCGATCCTGCTTCCCTTCTTCGACCTGGACCGACCCCAGTGCGTAGAGCGTCGGCCTTCAATAGGGACATACATCGTCAAGCACAAGGAACACCCTGGGGATGTACGGCCTCCAACACATGGATCACCGTGGGGACGTACGACCTATAGCACATTGGAAGGCCCCAGAGACGTACGGCCTCCAGCACGTAACAGTCACCCGGGGACGTACGACCTTCAGCACTCCGTCAGCCATACGTACGTCTCCAAGGACTTCGTCTGCCACAGCCAGACATACGTCTCCAAGGCGCCTGCCCATAGCCAGACGTACGTCTCAAAGGACTTTGTCTGTGTAATACTCAAGATTAAAAGGAGATGCACCGGTGCATCTCCTTTTAAGGTAGCTCATTAGCCAAGAACTCCAAAGTTAAGCGTGCTTGCAAGGAAGTAGTCTTGGAATGCGTGACCCCCCCCCCCCCCCCCCGGGAAGTTTCTCAGGGCGCGCATGAGTGAGGACAAAGTGCGTGTTAAAGGTTAGTGACGGTTTGTGAGGACAGTATTAGAGGTCTGGAGAGGTCAGAAGTAACTACCTCGGGTCCTACGGGGCGGGGTGTTATAGGTGGTATCGGAGCAACCCTGCGATAGTGTGCTTATCCGTTGGATATCGGGCGGGCACTTAGCGGGGCAAGATTCTAAAGTTTGATTAAGATTGATTTAAGGGCGCAACGAGGACGTTGCGATCCTAAGTGGGGGTGATTGTAATACCCGAGATTAATTTAAGAGAATTAATAGTACTACTCATGCCGACAGAGGTGCATCTCCTTTAAGGTAGCTCATTAGTCAAGAACTCCAAAGTTAAGCATGCTTGCACGAGAGTAGTCTTGGGATGGGTGCCCCCTGGGAAGTTTCTCAGGGCGCGTATGAGTGAGGACAAAGTGCGCGTTAAGGGCTAGTGGCGGTTTGTGAGGACGGTACTAGAGGTCTGGAGAGGTCAGAAGTAACTACCTCGGGTCCTACGGGGCAGGGTGTTATAGTCTGCCACAGCCAGACATACGTCTCCAAGGACTTCGTCTGCCACAGCCAAACGTACGTCTCCAAGAACTTTGTCTGCTAGACTTCCATACTTAGCTCATATATTCGATTGTAATCAGCCCAATAAGGGCCTTATATCGTAATGGGCCTCCCAAGCCCAAGACTTGGGAGCCCAACTCGCTTTTCCCTATAAATACTTCCCTTGGGAGTAGTTGTAAGGGTTCGAAACTCATTTAATACAAATCACTTCTCTCTAGACATATAGTCTATCGGTTATAATGGATACATTCATGTTAGCCGACCTCAAATTTTGTTGAGAATAACAATAATGTTTGGATGTTGTTATGTTTATAAAGAGTAAATTAGGTGTAATAAAGATAAAAAGTACTCTCTTCGTCCCAATTTAAAAGGTCCCGTTTGACTTTTACATGATTAAAAAAAATGAAACTATATGACACTATTTAAATACTGTTTGACAATGTTTGACACTGTTTTGCACTGTTTTGTTTACCAAATAAGGAAAACGGATATTTTTAAAGAATAGACCATAGGGAAAAGTAAAATGTTTACTCTTTCCGTCCCAAAATTATCTTCATAGTTACTATTCACATGGTCAACTCAAATTACTCTTAATCTTTTACTTTATATATCAATTTTTTATCAAACTTAAATTTTCTTGATCAGACTTTGTAGCGGATTTAATGTAGTTTCTGAATATGTAAATTTAATTTACTAAAAATAATATGAGTGTAAACATGAATCAAATTAAATTATCGTAAGTCAAACATCGTAAACCTAACCGAACTATGAAGATAAATGTAGGACGGATGGAGTTTTTTTTTGAAGGGCCAAATGTATTTATATATGGACACACACGTAGACGATGACATTATTGTGTGTCATCGCTGACATCGCTGACATGCTCTCTGCTTTCTCTGCCTGATACATGCCTTGAAAAGGCGACCAGTTTCCATTTTTGTTCAAATTTTAGTTTTTTCCTCTTCTTCTTATCTCTCTTTTGATCCCTCTTTGCACATCCTTCAAGTCATGGAGACTGACGGTTTTTCAACGACAATAACGGAGGCCACGCAACTGGTGAGGCTTCGTTGCTCAGTTAAGAACTACGATTGGGGACGCATCGAACGGGAATCCTGTGTGGCGCGGCTCTACTCTCGCAACACTGGGGAGGAGGTCCGGGAGGACATTCCCTATGCTGAGTTGTGGATGGGGACCCACGACTCCGGCCCTGCTTACGTGGTTGCTTCCTCTGACAATGGGCTTACCAATGGCGGTGTGAAAGAGGAGAAGTTCTCGCTGACTTTGAAGGACTGGATTCAACGGAACCCTACTCTTGTCGGCGAGAAGGTGGTTCAGACTTGGGGTCCTGATCTACCGTTTCTTTTCAAGGTTCGTCCTCGCCGCCTTAATTATTTTCAATTTAATTAAATGCAGGACCGTTTTCGATGTTTTTGGTGGTTTCAGTACTTCTAATTAAATACTAGTATCTAATTTATTTAAAGTTATGTTTTACAAGTATTAAATTGAACAGTATCTCGTAATTAATTAATTATACATTTAATAATATGTTCGGTTTAAACTTCAATTTTTCTTAAAGTTCAGCACTTCATTGAGATCTGTGCACTTTTTGGAACCAGAGCTCTGCTATTTCTATGATTGCATTAATTTATTGGCATTATTTGGGTTTCAGGTGCTTTCTGTTGCAAAAGCTTTGTCGATTCAGGCTCATCCTGATAAAGATTTGGCTGCTCGATTGCACAAGGAGCAGCCGGAGGTGTATAAGGATGCTAATCACAAGCCCGAGATGGCTTTAGCACTTACAGAATTTGAAGCTTTATGTGGGTTCGTTAGCTTTGAGGTACTTTGAATTGTCTTCGTTTGTGAGATGTTCTTCCTCTTCACTTTTTAGGCCTTGTTTGGCAAATGGCTGTTAGCGGTTGCTGTCAGCTAGTTGTGTCAGCTGTTTTCTAACAGCTGGTTGTGTTAGCTGTTTTGACCGACTGATTATGTTAGCTTACTATAAATAATTGTTTGGTAAAATTGGCTATTTCAAAATGGCTGATAGAGTGTAAATCTAAAAGAATGAAAGAAGACAATCTAAAAAGCTGCCCCTTGCTTTTCCTACCAGCCATTTTTTCAGCTTTTCGGACTCAACAGGCCAATCTAAAAAGTTATTTACCAAACATAAATATTGAGTGCTTTGACTAATGAAACAACTAAATTTGGTCAAACAAGATAATAGTTGGCTGATAAGCCGTTTGCCAAACATACCCTTACTGGTATATATGATTTGAATTGGGAATCAAATTTAAGCTTCTTTGCTAGGATGATCTTCATTCTCTATTCCTTTGCTTGTTGCATAGTAAATTTGAATTGCATTTTCAATAGCTTTAATTGCTGTTGGATGAGACCTGATAATGTTATTGCAGTAAAATGTACTGTATTTTATACTATCGTATTAGTTAGCTAAACAGAGGAAATTAAGATATTACTTAATCTGTCCCTATATGCCTATATAATAATCATGCTTCCATTTTGGGTGTGCATATTGTCTTTTTTCCTACTTGTTAGAGTAAAATCTTCGAGCCTGTTTGGGATGATTTATGAAACTGACAGAAGTTTTTCCGTGATCTCGAGAGCTCTATGTTGTGACAAAATCTTTTTCCGAGATCACGAGAGTGATATGTTGGACAAAAGATTTTTCCGAGATCTGGAGAACGATATGCTGAGGCAAAACTTTTTCCGAGATTTCGCGAGCATTATGCTGAAACAGAAGTGTTGTCCAAAATTTCGAAAGCAATATATTGTGGTTTTTATTTAATAAAAATAATATACTAAAATGGGAAGACGTGTCTTATACGCTGTTTTCCCTATCTTCAGAGTGATATGTTCGACAAAAACTTTTTCCGAGATTTCGCAAGCATTATGCTGCAACGAACAGTTTTTATTTAATTAAAATAGTATACTAAAGTGGGAAAAAGTTTCATTTATGCTGTTTTCCGAGATCTCGAGAGTGATATGTTCGACATAAGCTTTTTCCGAGATCTCGAGATTGATATGTTGCGTCAAAGCTTTTTCCGAGATTTCGCGCGCATTATGCTGCAACGAACGATTTTTATTTAAGAAAAATAGTATGCTGAAGTGGGAAAAATATTCATTTCTGCTGTTTTCCGAGATCTCGAGAGTCATATGTTAGACAAAAGCTTTTTCCAAGATATCGAGAGTCATATGTTAGACAAAAGCTTTTTCCGAGATCTCGAGAGTCATATGTTAGACAAAAGCTTTTTCCGAGATATCGAGAACGATATGTTGCAACAAAGCTTTTTCCGAGATTTCGCGAGCATTATGCTGCAACAAAAGCATTGTCCAAACTTCCGAAAGCAAAATATTGTGGTTTTTATATAAAAAAAATAATATACTAAAATGGGAAAAAGTGTCCTTTACTCTGTTAGCAATTTTCTCAACAACACAAAGACACTGAATTCGTGCTCTAATATAGTAGTCATACTTGAATGATTTTTTAAGTCATCCCAAACGGGTACTTAATTTGCTTCATTTCCCTCCTCCAATATCCCCATCTTGTACAAGTAAATACTCAGAGCCAAGTATGAGGAGGGCAAACTTGGAAATGAAAAAAAAGAACTAGTTAAAAATTAGTGCAAGTAAGGTGTTACAGGAGGTAAACTCAGATATGCACTAAGCATGGATCCATATGTGGGAAACTGTGTTATCTTCATGCTTTTTTTTTTCTGAAAAGGAATAGATTCCCACCTTCCATAGTAAATATTAATATGATTCATATGCATATGTAGATAATTCTATGAAAAATCTACCTTGATAAAAAGAACAAGCTTAAAAGTGAATGCTTGGATGAATTTGGTAATTCATAGGGATTCCTACTTTTGTGAAATTATAAAAGGATAAAAGGGTGATTTTAAGGGTTCATTTGGAACTATGGAATTGCTAGGGAAAGAGAACAAGAAAGAGATTGTAAGAGAGTTGAAGGGAAAAATGATGTGAAGAAAAATTGAACATTCTTTTATATTTTTTCAACCTTATTTTATATCTCTATCGCCCTTACATGAATAAGATTAGGAAATCTGTAACATATGTGATAACTGTAAAAACAGCTGTCATGTTTCAGGTTCCTTTGCAGCTTCTATGGTAAAATAAACCTAAGAAAATAACTCTCTTACCACCCTTTTTCTGTTTCTTTACTTTTTTTTTAACCAAACACAATTTGAAAGTACTTTGATTTGTTCTTTCCAGGAGCTCAAACTTGTAGTCCAAACTGTACCGGAGATTAGGGAAATTGTTGGGAGTGGGCATGTAGAGGAGGTGCTACATGAAAGTGCACACGAAGTGGGTGAGAGAGCAAAACCAATTCTTCAGTCGTTATTTACAACTCTTATGTCAGCTAGCAGTGATGTGATTTCGCAAGCTCTAACCAAACTCATAAGCCGGTTGAATGTTAAAAATGAGGTAACATCAACTCTGCCCTTCATTTTTACACATGTATATTTATTATTTTTTATGATTTAAACAGGACGAGATAATTCTTTTGTATCATCATTTATGTTGATGATGCATTTCTAGGGACTCGGCTTCTTTTTAATTATGCATTCTTTTAAAATCTCTTGGGCTATATACTTAAGCTTGTAAATCGGTTTGGTTTGGTAATCTTTTTCCCAAACTGTGTTAATCTGAACCAAATCAAAACCTATTAAAACCAAACCAAATAAAAAAACACAAAAGCCCTTACACAAAACCCATCAACTGATTCATATGCTGTTATATTACAGGAAAGAGAGTTAACTGACAAAGAACAGCTAATCTTGAGACTTGAAAAGCAATATCCAAGTGATGTTGGAGTTATAGCAGCGTTCTTGTTTAATCATGTGAAACTTAGTCCTGGTGAAGCTTTGTATTTGGGGGCAAATGAACCTCATGCATACCTGTTTGGTGAGTGCATTGAATGTATGGCAACCTCGGACAACGTTGTGCGTGCTGGCCTCACACCAAAGGACCGTGATGTCAAGACCCTTTGTTCCATGCTCACATACAATCAGGTAAAGATAATAATTCAAAATTGATCCCTCACTGTTTGCATAAAAAACTCGCTGAACTGAATAAAGTAGGGCACCAGAGATAACACCTGCATTCAGACACGCCAATGCCACATATATAATTTACACTAATCAAGTCCACATATGTAATAATTAGAGTATCACTTTGCTCACAATTTAATCGTTAAATATTATCAACCACATTGCTCTACTACAATTCCTTTATACTTTCATCATTCTCTAGTACGAGTACTATTTCACGATCATATCTTCAAAGAAAACATTAGAATAAGAATTTTTAAACAAATAAAATAAAATAGTTTTTGTGTTTATATAGGAGTATTAATTATATACGGAGTAGATTTTATTTCTAAAAATTTAAAGCTAATTAAATTAGAAGGCTTAGTGCAGTAGCACTTCTTGAACGTCCTAATAGACGACCGAGTAATGCGGCGTACATACCAGTGTCATAACCAAAAAGGAGCCCTCCGATGCCAGCCGATAAGGCGAGACGCATGATATACGGCGTTTCCCATATTAAATAAAGGTCTTGATTGGTTGTTGACATGTAGTAGTGTATAATAAAGTATAAAAGTTTCATAAAGGTTAACCTCACGTAAGAAAGAGTAGTTCATGTCCTTTAATGTAAGTCAGTATCTTTGAATTTTGCTGATGTAGAAAGACATTAACTTGTTTACAAAATTGAGGATCATGGGAGCAGATCAATTGTGAACTTCATTTGCACCTTTTGAATTTTAATTGGATCGTTCATTTGACCTGGATGCTTCTCATACAATATTAAGACTTCGCTATCATCCTGATTATTAAGATCTGGATATAATTACACTTCCAGCATTTAAAATGCTTAGGTACATTCAGAAATTCGCAACAAGCAACACATTGCAAGTCCACAAAATTCAGCTCAAATCATATCAAACATTTGAATTCATGATATGCTTTGTGCTGTTCTTTAGACGCTGCTTCTCAAGAGCTTTCCACCCATTGTAGATTCTACAATATGTACCTTTAAAGCTATCTAATCCTCTATCTGGTCTGGGTTTTCCTGGTGAAGGTGTTCCCTAAAATCCTTAAAGGAGATGCTTTGAGTCATTATACAAAGAGATACAGCCCTCCCTTTGATGAGTTTGAGGTAGACCACTGCATTCTCCCTGGACTAGTAACCACAGTTTTCCCAGCAGCTCCCGGCCCGTCTATTTTTCTGGTTTTCACTGGAGAAGGAACAATGACCACAAGGTCATCCAACGAGGCAGTCGCCGAAGGAGATGTTCTGTTTGTGCCTGCAAACACAAATGTCACCGTCTCAACCGCCACAACTGGTCTAAGTGTGTTTAGAGCTGGAGTGAAGTCATCTTTCTAAATACAGGAATGATAAAAGTCATGTGAAAAATAGTCCTTGTTTATACATGTTATGAGTGTGAGGGGTTGCTTGTAATATATTTATGCAATGATGAGGAATAACATACATACCCCACTTTTGTACAGTGTCATTATAGTGATAGTGATGTAATATACAAAAAAAAGGATGATACCCCATCCCTGAGGGCCCCCAACCTTGACCAGACGGTACGTTAGGAGGATGTAATATAATCTCAATCTGACAGATAGAGAGTGAAGCTATGTCCCCGGTACTTGCAGAGGCTCTATGCATATTTTAGCATAGTAACCCTCATTTTGCCGGGATTCGAAATCGGGACCTAACCCTTGTGTCACTCCCTCGCTACCAGTTGAGCTACGTCCACCAGTAGTGATGTGGTATTATACAAAAACAATAGCAAGGTAGAACTCTGAATTTCCTTTGTGCAGAAAAAATGAAAAAAAGATAGATTGGAGTACGATACGGATGTCTTTCCAAGGCGGAAGCATTCCATATCATAGGCGAGATTGCTAGAAGAAATATTAAAGAACTCAAATTCGTGTGCTTGAACTTTTTAGTAAAAAACAATTTACAATAACAGTAATATGTGTGACATGTGCTTATACACTCTGTATGTGTCTATATATGTTTGTGCGTGTGTATATGGGAGGTAAAAAACTATTTAAAGAATAACGTTTGAATTATAGGAGTAATTGTTATTCACTTTGCACTTGATAAATTTACCTTAAAAGTTCTTTAGTTTACATTAGGGATGGAGTCCGGCCCTGACCGGGCTATTTTTGGGATTGTTGAGACCCGGAACCGGCCCGGGTAGCTATCGGGTCCGGTTCGGGCTCAAGCTGGGTCGGGCCAGTTTCGGGACGAGTACCTTTTTAATTTTTTTTTTGGTTTTCTAATTACTTCCTACCCAAAACCCTAAACCCGTCCAAAACACCCAGCCCAACCCATTTACCTTCCAAAGATTTTGAAAAACAAAAAAAAATGGCCCGAAACGGGCCCGGCCAGGCCGGTTCATTTTATTGCGACTCGGAGCCCGCCACGAAAAATCCTGGTTCGGGTATAAAGCACCCGGCCCAGACCCAGGCCTCGGGTCGGGCTGATTCGTAACAGTACCAGGCCGGGCCGGTTTCGGTCCGATTGACCCAGCCCGTGTCCATCCCTAGTTTACACACCGCTCTCCAAAAAGGACCAAAACAGAGAGTGGCTTTGGAGATGCTCTCACAAACTTCACATTTTCCACAATAATAGCAAGCCTTACAAACAGGGTGACCATCATCCATCAAGAAGCGTCAAAGTAGACAACCAAATACATGTTGCATAAATTAACCTAACACAACAATTTTTTACATGAAAAATGACATTATCTCGTGTGCGCTATCAAAGTTCACTTCCAACTATGAATATTTATTTGAACTTCCAATCAAACAATACATATTGTACAACAAAAAATTTGTCTTCGCCTCTTTCCCCGATTTTGTCTTTCCACTACTGGAAAAGTGAGCAAGAAAGGCGCATGGTTAACCTGTAGTAGTGCTACGGTCATCAAGCCAAGAAATCATGTCATTGAAGACTTTGTGGATCATATCATCTGGCTCACCCTCAAGCGGGCAATGGTATGATTCCTCGTATAGGTTGAACGTCTTGTCACCACTGCTTGCCTTCTCATACAATGCTTCACTTACTGATGGATCAGTCAACACATCTTTCTTTCCATGCAAGATTAACAGCGGTAACGACACCTGCAAATCACATCAATCTCATTATCTTTATCGAGAAGTGATATTTTTGTCACTAAAACGAAACACTCAAGACACGAAAAAAGTAAGTTCATTCTGAAAGATTGGACAGGCGGATTAGGTTATAAGCAGCAAAGCTCAGATTCTTGTAAAATAATTATGCATGTTGATTATCCAGGCACTGCCAGAAAAGCTAAAATGAAGCTCAACTTAATATAATCAGCAGCATATCATATTGAACAATCATCATGAAACAGAAAAGAGTTGAATAATAAATAGCTCTACACCAAAAGCAACACAATCTGTACGGACAAAAAACACATCAAGTCCTGGTTAATATAGGCAGCTGCCCTTTATCCTACATAGCCAGGCTTGGGCATCGGAAGCAAACTGAAGTATATAGATATGAATTGTTAAAGGATTGCACATAGATGGATATATAGTGTCTCTAAGTATGTACTTAATGCATTTGATTCCATCTTTTAGTCTGATTTGGCACATGTGGAATGACTCGATCGAGTATCCAATTAAAGAGAAGTTTTTTCCATTATTAGTCCTCTACCTATTGAGGCAATGAAGCTTTTAGTCCTCAAACGACTAACTATAATGACACACCCATGGTTTTGGTGTCTATTTTTGAGTTTTTCTAATCCTAGTCCTCAAACTTTTGTGACACTGAATAGCAATTTTCTAAAAAATAATATACTAAAATGTACTTTACTAAATTGTACTATATTGAGGACTAAAAAATAATATACTAAATGGTCCTTAAGAATTTTATCTTTAACCGAAATTGTACTGTTTTAAATAAGTACGAAATCGGTTCTAGATTTTGAGAAACGAAAAATATCGAATGAAATCTTTTTAAAATAATGTATTTGAGATTTTTATATTTTTTCCATACAAATAAATTTCTTTTGTAGACCAACAATTCTATAGTCCAAGTATATATTCACGCATCCCTGAAATACTGAATGTGTGTATTTATATAAATACTATTATTTTTCCTTTTAGATAATTTATGTTATATTTGGTATATATTGAAAGAATGCTAAAGTTTTAAAAATCACTAATAACTATTAATTTCTAGTAATCTAGTAATTTAGTGTGTAGTTTTACAACCTAGTTAAAAGGCTTTGAATTTTACTTCTTACGGTTCAACTATGAATTAAATTAGAACTATTATTCATCCTTGAAGAAAGAAGAGCGTTAAATTTTTCTATTATATTCAACAATTAGATGATATTCTTTTTATATTTTCACATGAATATAATAAAGATGATATGTATTTGGTGTATCGTCATTTTGTTATACTTTTCCTTAACTGTGTTGCACTAATCGAGTATTTGTGAATTTAAATACAAAAATTTCAGTCTCTTGAATCTTTCCCGGTATTTAGTATGCACTTTGTTATATTTTTATCAACATTTCATTTGAATTGGACGGTGTTATGATATCTACTAATTGCAATATTTATGCAAATGTTTTAGCATGTGTTTGGCATGTACAAAACCGTTTTGTACTGTTCAGAAATGAAATGGTGTTGAATGCTTCCATCTCTAGAACCGGACCGTACCGAACCTTTAGAAACTTCACGAGTACATTACAGGTTTCGCTAATTTACCGACCCATTCCAGACCGCGCCCACACCTAGCATCTCCACACAAAATTGGTTGACTGAATTCTATTCTATTATTTACACCGATTTTTGTAATGTAAAGTTATTTAGGTTAGATATTAAAAAAGAAATAATTACACATATATGACTAAAAAAAGTTGTTTACGAAAATATGACTACTGATTAGAGTAGTAATAGAATCATAATAACTTATGTTTAATTTTTAAACTTAATTTTTAAAAATGATCACATGTATGTTCAATCATAGTGGATGACTTTGTAGATAATGTGTTGGTTTGTTATCCCGTGCAACACACGTGTAAAGACTAATTTTTATTGTGAAAAAAGGGTCAAATAAGCTTTGTACTATTTCCAAAACATCATTTAAGTCCATGTACTAAAAAAAGTATCATATAAATACGTTTACTTTCAAAACATGATCAATTTGGTCATTTGTTTAGTTTTTGACCTGTAATAACAGATTTTTTATATTAAAAACTCTAAAAAAATGTGAAAAATTTGATGAATGTTAGGAATATTTTATGGTGTCCAATCTAATTAAATATCTTTGTATTTGTGTAGTTATTAATTAAACGTGTAATACGGGCCACAAATGTGTATCAGCCCGGGGGCTTCCTTGTAACCCGTAAGTTACTAACTTCTCTTATAAAAGGAGGCTAACTTACGGGAACCCTAACTATCAAAGAAACGATTGAGGCTTAGAGTACGTAGAGGCGAAATAGAGAAGGGTTTCCGCTGCTCTCCTTCTCCAGGGAGAGCAGCGGGGTTTTCATACGGTATACCAGATTCACGTATAATATCGACATATCTTTCTATCTGCTTCTTCTTAACTGCTATGGTTGTTTGATTCTTTAGTATTTTGGGACTATCAATTGGTATCAGAGCCGAGACGTGAAACAGGTTGAATCTATCTGCGATTTTTGGATCTAACGAAGAACTGCTCTGCTTTTCTTTTGTTTTTCTTTGGTGTAGAGATTTGCTCCTGTAATGTTGTCTGTGAACGAAACTTTGTAAAAATCATACTGTTGGACTCGCCTTTCAAAACCGATCCAGCAGCATACCTTATTTTTCGTTTTCTGTAATTTTTATATTTCGAAGATCTCTACATTGAGATCTCGAAATCCTTATTTTTCAATACTGCAGAAACGTTTTTGACTTGAAATTGATACAGGAGAATCTCGACCTTCAGGGCTTTTCAGAACAGGTTTCAGATTTTAAAAAATCGAAGTTTTCATTTTGCAGGATCTCGACATTTAGGGACTCGATTTCCTCATCTCGACTTTTGAAATCTCGAGTTTTGACATCTCGAGTTTTGTCATCTCGAGTTTTGACATCTCGAGTTTTGTCATCTCGAATTTTGACATCTCGAGTTTTGACATCTCGAGTTTTGTCATCTCGAGTTTTGACATCTCGAGTTTTGACATCTTGAGTTTTGACATATCGAGTTTTGAAACCTCGAGTTTTGAAATCTCGAGTTTTGAAAACTCGAGTTTTGGAATTTCGAGTTTTGGGATTTCGACATTTGGGATCTCGATGTTTTGGATCTCGACATTCTGAAGATTTCGAGATTTTCAAAATTTCTCGATGTTTTGAATTTTTCAAAGTTTGGAGTTTCTTGAATCACTGATTTCTTCCAAACTTGATATCTTTCCTGTTCAGAACACTTCGAAGCTTTACATTTTTAGATATCTGAATGAATCTCTGCCTATCAAAGTTTTTAGAAGTTTTCGATGTTCTGATGTTTTTCAAACAGCAAGTTTTCGATTTTCAAATGTTTTCGAAACTCCAAAGTTTTCGATGTTCCAAACATTTTGAAATTCTGCAGATTTCGATATTCTGAGGTTTGTTTTGCAGGTGGATTTCGCCATTATTCTTCGACTCAAACTCGAGATTAAGATCTCGAGATTTAAACCTCGAGATTGTAATCTCGAGATTTAAACCTCGAGATTGTAATCTCGAGATGTAAACCTCGAGATTGGAATCTCGAGATTTAAACCTCGAGATTGTAATCTCGAGATTTAAAACTCGAGATTGTAATCTCGAGATTTAAACCTCGAGATTTAAAACTTGAGATTGTAATCTCGAGATTTAAACCTCGAGATTTTAATCTCGAGATTTAAAACTCGAGATTGTAATCTCGAGATTTAAACCTCGAGATTCGGATTTCGAGGTATTGCCTTAGAATTTTGTTTAAAATCCACCTGCTCTCGATATTCATCTTCGAGAACCTCAACTTCGAAGAAATTCCTCAAAAACTCAAAATTAGAGATTTTC